ACATACATGCATATATATGCATACATACATATACACATAAAATACAATAAATAAATCTAAAGGGGGAAGTTTGCCAAGATACAGACACACAAAGAACAACCAGGTGAGGTCATAGTATAGGACATGGCAAACTGATGACCATATGGGGAGGGTGACATGTACTAACTGCAGAAAAGTGTCTCATGAAAACTCTTGCATTTAGCTGTCTCAAGAGCTCTGTGAATTGTCTGAGGAGACAGAGGCCTTGCCCATGTCACCTAAAAAGTGTGAGGGAGTTTCCATCCCAACCTGCCCACACTGGACAAAGCTCACCCCACACTAATGATGCAGACAGACTTGTAGAGTATGGGAGTAAGTGGGAGTTGGTGAGAGCCATCATGAGCTGGCCTCTTGGCCATGTAACTGTCTTCTCCCTGAGGATCTTGCTTGGGTTGGACCCAGAATACTGCAGGCTACACTGTGGCTGTGTGGGCATGCGTGTGTGTGTGTGTGTGTGTGTGTGCATGTATGCATGCGTGCGTGCGTGCGTGTGTGTGTGTGTGTGTGTGTGTGTGCATGTATGCATGCGTGCGTGCGTGCGTGCGTGCGTACGTACGTGCGTGCGTGCGTGCCTGCGTGTGTGTGTGTGTGTGTGTGTGTGTGTGTGTGTGTGTATACTTTCCTAGGTATCTATGCTGAACTTGTATTTCTTTGGGAAATAAGGAAAATAATTAAAGGCATTTAAACAACAAATTTTAAAGATACACATTTGGGGCTGGAAAGGTAGCTCTGCAGTTAATACTTCATGTTCTTCCAAAGGGCCTGGGTTCAGTACCCAGAACTGATGTATCAGCTCACAACCATCTGTAACTCCAATTCCAAAGGGTTCAGTGACCTCTTTTGGTCTCCATGGGCACTGCACACACATGGCACACATACATGCAGATGAAACACTTATACACGTAAAATAAAAATAACTAACAATTAAAACAAAATTAAGAATTCTTCCTGCTCTTCTAGAGGGCCCAAGTTCAGTTCCTAGCACCCATGTTGGGTGGCTCACAATTGCCTGTACCTCCAGGTTCTGGGGATCTTATGCCCTCTTCTGGCTGCCATGTGTGCCTATACCCACAAACAAACACATGCTCACACAACACACACATATAATAAAAATAACACATACAACAATAACAATAAAAAAATTTAAAAAGATGTGTTTGCAGATGTGAATTCAAACAAGAGCTCTAGCCATTTCAGGCAGGAGGCACCTGGCTTCGAAATAAACAGCTACGGGACAGCTCTAAGACCCCCAGGGAGCTGGCCAGGCACTTGCCATGTGTGCTACCAGGAAGTGGCTCCAGAGGCCAGGAGGAGAAAGCAGATGTCTCCACACCAGGATGCTACGATGGGCAGTGGTGCTATGCATCGCCAACTTAAATCCTGAGCCCAGAAACCTGGGGCTCTGGGACTTTTCCAAGGGGCCCAGAACTCATCCAGGTAGATATTCCAACAAAACCCACCCACCCTGTGCATTTTCTTCCTTCCCAAACACTGTTGTATTAAGAATGGTTTCTGCTTGAGAGATCTGCATGAAAGTGAGATGAAGGAGAAGCCAGTGAAATAAGACAAGGCAGGAATGCACTTAGTTCAACCAACTGCTTGCTCTGTGACTTTAGCCAAGTTACTCACTCTCTCTCAGCCTGCTAATTCACCTGTTGACAGCGAGCGACAGGAAGCACTCTGAAGGAGTTGCCTTGAGGATATATAAAAAGGGTGAGTGGGGTAGTGTTTGACTGGGTAAGTGTGAACTGTGGCTAGGAGCATAACCTAGGAGGTGTTGGCTCTGATTCCTACTCCTTCCAGGTCTGTGCAGGGTCTCAGTTGTCATCCCGTTTAACAGGCACAGCAGCCTGCAGCTAAAAGAGACAAAAAGCTAGGCGGAAAAGACCCTGGTTCTTCAGTAGAACATAGCTTTCCCAGGCTAGTCTGAAGCTGACCACTAGAGGGCAGTCTAAACCCTGGAGCTGAGCTGAGAAAAGGCAGTAGGATTCAGCATTCAACAGTGTTGGTCTTCCAAGGTCTCCAGAGCACCACAGTCTGGTGGCAAAGGGGCTGAGGTGACAATGAAATGACAAAGCTCCTGTGGGGCCCAGAAACCAGTGACAGCCAGGGTCCCACAGCCAAGGGCTGTCAGAGATAAGGACCAGAGTCACATGGTTTAGATGGAAAGGTCAGACATGTGTGATGTCACTGGACTGTGAAGAAGGGCTGACCTGGTGGAGGGAGGGCCAAGGGGTGCGGGAAGCAGAAAAGAACCTGCAAGTGTGCTGGGCAGAGGACATAAGTGCCTGCTGGTCACTGTATAAGCTCAGGAAGTAATACCACATGGGGGCATGGAGTGCACATACCATGTCCCCTACATGTCCGTGTGTGTGTGTGTGTGTGTGTGTGTGTGTGAGAGAGAGAGAGAGAGAGAGAGAGAGAGAGAGAGAGAGAGAGAGAGAGAGAGAGGAGAGAGAGAGGAGAGAGAGGAGAGAGAGAGAGGTGGGGGCATGTGTGCATGCACTTAGTTATGTGACTTTTAAAACACCTGTTTGTCTCCTGTTTGGTTCCCTTCATGTATCAGGAAGTCTGTCCACAACTACATCCTGGTATCAGGACACTGAGTAGGTGACAGGTGTCATCGATGCTCTGTCAGAAACATCCATGTTGTGTGAATAATAGGTGGGCAGGCACCTGAGGTGCAGCAGAATCCCCAGCCAGTACAGAGGGGATGGTGAGGAAGGACAGGCCAGGAGCCCCACGAGGCTTCTGCAGTACTGCAGATATAAGCAAGCCGGTAATGTGCACAGATGGGGCCAGTCCGTGGAGACAGCTGAGCAGGAAGCTACTATCAACACTGCCCAACACTGCAGAAGGGCTCATGAGAGCCAGGGCTGAGCACCCGGGGAAGGCTGGCCATTACCCTGGCCCAGGGAATGGAGGACAAGCAGTAAGAATTGAGAGGAAGAGGGAAGCAGGCAGGCAAGTGCCTACACTATTTCTCAGGGCTGTAAAAGTTAGGGTTCTCCAAAGAGACAGAGCTTCCAGGGTGCACAAGTATATACACAGTCTGTTGTCCATGTCCATGGATTCTACAGTCATGGATAGAAACACTTGGGGGGAAATTAGCATCTTTATTAAATACACATGAACTTCCTTTTCTTCTTGTCCCTAAACATGGTGGAACCATTGTTCTTGGAGAACTCACATCTTTCAGGTTATTATTAATCATGACTGCAATCCTATCCCTGGGAAGCTGCAGCAGGAGGACTGCCTAAAATTCAAATCTAGCTTGGACTATGCAGTGAGTTCCAGGATACCCTAGGGCACAGATTAGGACCTTGTCTCAGACAAAAGCAAAACGTTAAGAGTCACCCTGGGATGGCTGAACATGCTTGGGTAGAGTTGTGTGTTATTGTAAATGCCACACCGTGTTACAGAAATGTTTGGGGCATCTCAGAAGTGCTGGACTGGGGACCTCTGAGACTTCTGAGAGACGACTGTACTTTAAAATATATATATGGAGGCACAGAGAGAGAATTTAAATACCTGAAATCATGTTTTAAAGAGTTGGTTTCCATAGTAACGGGGCAGCCAGGGTGAGGTCTGGAGGGAGGGTGGAAGCTTGGTGGGGGGCTGGTGCTAACAGCTGGAGCCTGAACAGCATCTGGGATAGAGCTGGATTTTTTTCTAGGTATCTCAGGCTTCCCACAAAGAACCTATGCTAACTGGACAGTCTCCAGCTCATGTGGAGGGCCACCTCTTTCCTTAAAAGCTACTGGTTCTGACCCCACCCCATCTTATAGAACACTGTCAAAGCAACACCCTGGTACCACGACCCAGCAGTCTGTCATGGAGGAAGTCTGTCCTTCATAAAGCAAGCATGGGAAAGGCAGCTGGTCTCACATCAGGCACATGGACAAGATGGCCATTGCCATTATAGTTTCTGCTCTGAGGTCCCTATCCAGTGTGGGCTTGGGGTTCCAGCAGCAGTATCAAAGAGTCCCACTCACCCCATGCAGGCATGGAGCCTTCTCCAGGTATTGGGACTCCACAATCCAGAACCAACTCCGTAAGAGACAGGCCAGATGAGGGCAGAACCTGCAGAGCCCACTTTCCTCCTTATAGTCTGTAGCCCTTGGCCCTGAACCACTCTAGGTGGGCATGCAACCCCTCCTTCCAGGAAGGGTATATATAAAAGGTGTCACAGGCATTGAGAGAGATTAAGAACTATGATAGACAATCACCATATCAACACCAAGTGAGAGCCTTTTCTGGGCTCTCTCCCCTGATCTTCTTGCCTGCCCACACACCCAGACCCTTTCTCCAATCAGATCAAAGGCCTTGACTTCCAGGCTATAAACTCCAGATTTGGAGGACTAACATTCCTTCCAATAGCCTTCTGGGTGCAAGCATCCCATTGGCACAGCTCCACACAGGCCCTGCTGGTGTGGGGCTGGTAACCACTCCCTACTGCTGTTTGGCTTGGGTGCAGGTCTCAGCCTTGAACTTGAACCCTTTCTTCCTGCTCCTGGCTCATGAGAGGCTGTCCTTGTAGAACCATCATGTAGATTTTGTTTCTTGTTAGGGTCATGGGTCATTACCTTGTAACGTTCAGGGTTACAAGGTAATGTCTAAAAACCTCATGCCTTGTGCAGGGAAATCAGACCTCATTCTGGTTACCTAGTACCTGCTTTGCCATGTTCCTAGAATGTCAGGGCCTGGAGAGCTCATAGATCATGGGGAGGAATGCATACCCTCAACCCCTCCTCACTCTAGGTGACTTGCTGTAGACACACAGCCACCTCTCATGATCACATCTTTAGGTATATAAATGCTGATGACTAATATCAACGTTTCAGGACCTTGGGGGAGATCACCCATTACAAACAGAAGAGGCCTGACACTCTGGTCTGGGTCTGGCATCATAGGGAGGGGGAGTTCAGCAGTGGGTGTGGCAAACAGAGGCACAACCATACCTGGTGGATCTCATGCCAGCCATTCTCATCCTTGCAACACACAGAGGCATGCTCATGGAGAAGGAGCTCACAGCAGTAAGGGTCACCACCCACAATGGCCGTGTGATACAACGGTGTAAGCCCATAGCTGTCCTTGTAATCTGGAGAGGCACCAAGCTCCAGAAGAGTCTAGGGAGAGAATATAGAGTTGTCACCAGTCTCATACATGGAATAAATTGAAGACACACATGGATTGCTTTCCTACAAGCCAAGCAGAGTCATGCCTGGATACCTGATGTTTCCCCCTGACACACACAAAACTGGAGGGTCCTAATGGCCAACTGGAAGTGACAGGTGATATTCAGGGATGCAGGAATGGCCTGCACCCAGATGAAAAACAGTCTGCAGCTACCATTCCTCAACAGGTTCCTGCTAGTGACTAGAACCCCATATCCCAGAAGACAGCTATGGAGAGCCATCATGGTTGCATTTGCTAATGAGAGCCACAACATTTGAAGTAACACACAGGACAACTGGACCCCAGTGAGTCTGGAATCCTGGTGACCCTCTGAAGCAGGGTCAGCAACACATGGGCTTCATGGAAAACTGTAGGAAGGCCCAGCTGAGTGAAGTGGGGATAGCAGAAAGCCCCCATCTCAGATCAACCTGCACCCAGAGGACCTGGCCTCCTCATCATGCTCTCTGGACAATGCTGCATATACTGCCAGACAGGACAAGGAACAAAGGTGTGGGGAGAAGGAAAATGGAGTAAATGCTGCCTGGCAGTGGAAGAAAGATAGGCATTGGGAAGATGGATGTGGGCAGGATGGGGGAAGATGGGCATGGGAAGATGGACCTGAGAATATGAGCATGAGAAGATGGGCATGGGAAGATGGGCACAGGAAGATGGGCCTGAGAAGATTAGCATGGGGAGATGCACCTGAGAAGACAGACCTGAGAAGATGGACCTAGGAAGATGGGTATGAGAAGATGGAAATGGGAAGATGGGCATGGGGAGAAAGGGTTGGGAAGATGGCAGTAGGAAAGACAGACATGGAAGGAAATGGGCCTGGGAAGGAAGGCATGGGAAAAGGGGGTAGGGAGGTAGCCATGGGGAAGATGGGTATAGAGTATATGCCACATCGAGGTTCAGGAGAAGATGAAGTGTGGCCACAGCTGCCTGACTCCTAGAAATGCAATGCAAGGGGCATCAAGGCTGTCGGTACTACTAATGGATTTGAGGCCTCCTCTGAGGGGCAGCAACAAAGTTTAGCACCAACTCATTTGTTGGAAACATAAGCCTTTCTGTGAAGTAGAGGGGACAAGGTGGCTTAAGGTACTAAGTTCTAGAAGCATCCATACCACAGAGTGGGCAGGAGAGCCTGACACCCAAATGCCCTTCTGCACTCCAATGGGGACAGGATTCGTGATTCCCTGGGGAGGAAGCTATTGTGAGGCCAGCTCAGGGGACCAGATAAAGAACTCCGTTGCCCACACATGGCAGGCTCAGGACATACCTTTAGGGCAAGCTGGTTCCTCATCCGGGCAGCCTTGTGAAGGGCGGTCATCCCATCCCTGGCACGGAAGTCCAAATGTGCACCCCCATTTCTGAGGACTTTGATGACCTCCATGGAGTCATCAAGCTGAGCAGCCAGAGTCAGGGGTGTCTCTGAGGGAACCAAACACAAAGGCATTGGAACAAATACCCAGAGAAGGATGCCCAGCCCCACTGGCCTAGAGAAGGATGCCCAGCCCCACTGTGTGTACTTGAAACTGAGCAGCTCCTTCTGTGAGCCTATGGCCCCTGAGAGTCCATAGAGTCAGGGTGACTCAGACAACCTCATTACAATGACAGAGACACATGGGGTCACATGCAAATCAATAGCAGCAAGCTTTCCATAGTGCAGGCCTTGGTACCATGAATCCTGGAAAGTCCTGCTATGCTTACTGAGGACAGAAGCCTGAACACCATCTTGACAAGTCCCTCAAAGGAACTCAGATACCGGAAAGGCCAGCACCTTTTCTTCTTCCAATTCATAACACACACACAGACTCTTTGTGGCTGCAAGTTTTCTGCATAGTAAAGACTAGAGTCCTCTGGGTGCCATATTCACTGACCACAGGGCACGAGGACAACACACAAATTACTGTGACCCAGACTGATAACACTCTAGAGCAGCGGTCCTCAACCTTCCTAATGCTGCAACCCTTTAATATGGTTCCTCACACTGTGGTGACCCCCAACCATACAGTTATTGCTGCTTCATAACTGTAATTTCGCTACTGTTATGAACCAAAATGAAGATATCTAATGTGCAGAATATCTGATATGTGACCCCAAAAGGGGTCATGACCCATAGGTTGAGAACCACCATTGTTGAGTTTCCATCTCAAGGCAGGGAGGCAGCTCAGTGGGAAGAGTACTTGCTACACAAGCACTAGAGGACATGAGCTCGAATCCCCAGCACCCAAGTAAAAGCTGAGTGCAGGTGTGCATGCCTGTCACCCCAGCAGAGACAGGTAGGTCCCGTGGGCTCATTAGCCAGCCGCTCCAGCCAAAACAGTGAGCCTCAAGTTATGTGAAAGCTGGGCCTTCTCAGGTGTTTGCAAAGCAATGTCTTGAAAATGTACTTCATTTCTCATGTGTTGAGTTTCCCTTGATTTTTAAAACTTTAGAACTGCAGCAAGTGTACCTAAGCAGAGGGCTGGTACCCCAAACTTGGACTATTTGACCTTAAAGTTATATACACCATCGCCCTAGAAATACCCCAGGAGTGTTATAGCCAGGAAATAACCAGGATGTATTTCAAGAGGCATCAGGAGGAAGGGAGAGAGGCAGGACCCTGGCAGGCCAGTTGAGAGCTCCAGCCTGGCTGCAGAGATACAGTACACCAGGAAGGGCAAGGTGGAGATGCAAGGGCTCAGAGCAGCTGCTAGGAGTGCAGGACACAGAGTGGCAGCTGGAGCGTGCCTGTGTGTGTGTGTGTGTGTGTGTGTGTGTGTGTGTGTGGGTGCGCGCGCGCGCGCGCGTGCATGTGTGTGTGTGTGTGCGTGCACGCACATGTGTGCTCACTCCGGAATGTGTTCCATGGAAGCAGTCCCAGAAATCAAGTATTTTGGAGGGGTGGGCAGCCACTAGCAGGATTCTTGAAACACTGATTTAGGAGGCTGAGGGGTCCCAGGATGAACAATTTAACACAGAGAGGAATGATGAGTGTATCACAGATGTGGCAACTGAACATGGGGCACACAGGCTGACCTGAGCCACTCTAAATGTGAAATGCATGGTGAAGAATAAATAAGCCATGGGGGACCACTTTCCAGCTGGAGTTCAGAGGCCACAGTATCAGCCAGCTTCTCACCTGTGAACTCAGCCAATCCCAGAGTCAGGAAACACTTTCCTCTCAATATCAGCTGTCACCATCATCATCAAAGCAGCTGGTACCCAGAAGAGACCCCCCCAAGGTCAGGCTGGTGGACACTCTCTCATAGGATAGGGGGAAGGAAGGGTCATCAGACCCAGATGTGAGATCCAGCTGTTTCCACTTGGCCTTCCCTTCCAGGTGTATGTAATTCTACCCAGCTACATGCTGGTCTCTTCCAAAGTGCTAAAGCAGCAGTTCTCAACCTGTGGGTTACGGCCCCTTTCACAGGGGTCACCTAAGACCATTGGAAAACATCGATATTTATATTATGATTTATAACAGTAGCAAAATTAGCTATGAAGTAGTAATGAGAATAATTTTGGGGTGGTGGTGGTGTCACCACAACATGAGGAAAAATATTAAAGGGATGCAGCATTAGGAAGTTTGAGAACCACTGTGCTAGAGTATACAAACTGAAGGTTAATGAAGGGGCCTTCCATCTATGCAGATATGGGGATAAAACCCATGTTGGGGTGGGGCTTTGCAGTGATGCAGCTGTTGTAGGGTCACACACACTCCTATAAGTAACCCTTCTCCAAGGATCCTGTGAGTGACCTCTCATTTCAGGCCCCTATGAGTGACCCCTCACCCAGACTCCCTTAAGTGTCTCCCACCCGGACTCCTGTGAGTGACTCATCACTGTGCTCCTGTAGCTAAGCCTGACTAACATTGGTCTGGGCTGGTCTTGGAGTTGTTCCTTTGTTCTGCTCTATGCAGAATAAACAGAAGTTTATCCATGTCTTCACAGGGAAAGTTAAAGCAATGCCCAGACTGAAAATAACAATAAATACAACCAAGAAATAACAGGGTGTAAGAGTGGTTTTCACAGTGTCCATGAATCAGGTTTTAGAAACAATATAGAGATGACACAGGCTGCCAGAGGATGTACATGGGTTCTGTGTGACTTGAGCATCCCCTTGAGCTCAGACCTGAGGGAACCAATGGCCCACACCTCATAGATATGGAGGGACACCTGCATACAGTAAAACATACATAGAGATTGAATAACCAATAAACGGCAGCAGGAGGAACAATTTCACAGACAGACATGACTCTCCACTGTGCCCTTTAGGAGGCACAACATAACTCCCCATTCCTTAACAGTGGGCCATGCTAACCAAGGCCCTTCCAAAAGGCACTGGATGGGACTGGCTCAGCAGGGGAAGAAATGTTGTAGACATGGAGGGTCATGCTAGGAGGTCTAGGTTAGCACCCCCAAAATCAGTCAGTCTGATAGTAGGAGCCCTGCATATAAGGTAAGAGGGATGCTTCACCTCCTTCAGCTTCCTCCCCAGACCCACACTTACTCATGTTTACAAGAACTGGGTGCAGTCTAGAAGAAAACACTCAACAAATGTGCATGGAGGGGCATCTGAATAAATGCCAGGTCAGTTCTCAAAGTTGTCAAGCTCATCACCAAGAGGACAAGCCCAAGCAACCATCAAAGCCACACAGCCTACAGAGACATGACAAGGAAAGATGGTGCAGGCCCTCTAGAGTCCCCAGACAGAAAGAAACATTTGGGGAAACTGAGGAAGTCAGAGTGATGCATGAGCTTTGTAACACTCCCATGTGGATATGCATTCAATGGTGGCAATGCAAGCCACACTGATATCAGATGATAGCAATGGGTGAGCAGTTTGCAGAAACTCCTTAAGCCAGAGCTGTTCTAAGAAAGGTTTATTAAAGAATGAACAACAACAACAAACACCTTAGGGTCAGAGAAATGGCTCTGCAATTGAAAGCACTGGCTGAATTTGGTTCCTAGCACCCACATCATATAACCCTTCACTGCATGTAACTCTGCTCCAGGAGATCCAATGCATTCTAGTGGCTTCTATGGGCATCCCTCCCATATGTACATACTAACACACATGCACATAAATAAAAATTTTTAAAGTTAAAAAACTTTCAAAGCTCTTACATAGGGCAAGGGAGTTAACATCTCCATAAAATTGCTGTTACAGATTTAGAGAAAATATTTCCAAAATCAAACACAATTGTATATGCGCTGTGGCTATCCATTATGCACAAAAAAACATATAAACTCAATCAATTATCCCCAAAGTGGATGAGATACCTGAATTAAAAACCTCAACAAAGAGAACTGACAAATGGTGAATGACATGTGAAAGATGTGTGTGCCACAGGTCCCCAGACCTCACACCTCAAGGGGATGCTGCATGCACTCCAAAAAGCCAAACACAAAACACTGAGCCCTCAAACCATAGATGATAGACCTCCTTGCTCCCTCATCACTGGCTCGGAAGAAACAGGGTGCAGCCATGTAGGGCATCTCAAAGGACAGCTCAGCATAGTCTTACAAAACAAAGTGTAAGGGGGCTGGAGAGATGACTCAGCACTTGAGAGCACAGACTGCTCTTTTAGAGATCATGGGTTCAATTCCCAGGAACTGCATTGTGCTGGCTAGTTTTATGTTCACTTGACACAAGCTAAAACCATTTGGAAAGAGGGAACCTCAATGAAGAAAATCCCTCCATAAAATCAGGCAAGTTCGTAGGGCATTTTCTTAATTAGTGATTGATGGGGGAGGGCCCAGCGCATTGTGGCTGATGCTTTCTCTGGGCTGGTAGCCCTGGGTTCTATTAGGAAGCAGGCTGAGCAAGCTGTGGGAAGCAAGGCACTGAGCAGCACCCCTCCATGGCCTCTGCATCGGCTCCTGCCTCAGGCACCTGCCCTGCTTGAGTTCCTGTCCTGACTTTCTTTGATGTCCAAGCTGGATATGGTAGCACACACCAGTTTATCAGCACTCTGAGAGGCTGAGGCAGGAGGATTGCTGTGAATCTAAGGTCAGTCTGAACTATTGATTAAGACCTTGTCAAAAAAAAATTACAAAAGAATAAACTCAAAGGGAAACATACGCTCATAATTGTTAAGAATTGCATAAAATCTCTCATCTCAAGTGAATAGATTTTAAAAAAATAACTACTGAATGGGAAACTTATTATTTAGAACTATGAAAAATTGATTCGGGCCAGTGAAATGGCTCAGCAGGTAAAGTACTTGCAAAGAAAACCTGACACTCTGAATTTAATTCCTAGAACCCACATAAAATAAAAGGTGAGAAATATTCCACAGAATTGTCCTTTAACCTCCACAAATGTGCATGGTGCACACACACTCCCCACAGAACACATAATTAAATCAATAAAGAGACACAGAGGAAACTTGGGCACAGGATGCTGAGTGAATGAAGCCAGTCTGACAGCAACGTACTGCCCAATTCCCACACTGTCACTCTAGGAAAGGAAGAGATAAAGACAGGGAACTATGGCTAGGGGGAGATAATGGCCAAGTACAAGGGGTGTTTGGATAGTGACAGGACCCCAGATGATTCTTGATGGTGAGTACAAGAATAACATACTTGACAAGAATACTCACAGAATGTATGGCACACAAGAGTAGCCCTAGAGTAAACTCTGGGCCTTGGCTGTAACAAACATCACACTAGTGCCTGCTGGTGTAGGGGCACATGGGAATGAGCCACACATAGGGCTAGAGTTGCTTAATTATTTTGAGACATGATCTCATATATCCCAAGCTAGCTTCCAACTTGCTATGTAGGTAAGGATGGCCTTGAACTCCTGATCCTCTTGCCTCCACCTCCTGCGTGTTGGGATTTGAAGGTATGTGCCACCACACCTGACTTATCTTCTTGTTATTTAAGTAGTAGTTGGGCTAGAACCTGCCTCTGAGCTACACCCTACTGCCCAGTGTGATTTTTCTGTGACTCTAGACCTAATCCAAGGCTCATGTCTATCCCAGACTGCCTTCCCTGGTCCACCTTCCACATTTGATGAACCTTATCTTCTAGCTTGTGCACTTTGTGAGTTTCCCATGCTCCCTTGGAAGCAGGTGCATAAAGAAGAAGGATTGCAAAATAACTGGGTACCGTATCTGAGCGCTCATCTAACAACAGGCCTCTTTATTAGAACTCCAAGGACTAACCAGATGCACCCAGCTTACTGGAGGTGGGTATTTATGAACCAGCAGCGGGCTGCCTTCATTTGCACACCTCTCACTGTCTGCAGACTCATGTTTACAGGGTCTCAGAACCCCACTCCCTCCAGACACAGCAATTCCCGGGGCATCCATCACATGTTGTGACTCACTGTGTGACAGTCAGATACCGACCATAAGTCATCAGACAGGCCAGGCTCCCTCCACTCCCCAAGCCACAGAGCTCCATGTAAAGGGAAGCAGAATGTCCACAAAAGCTCCTAATTGGGCCGTGTGGGAGCTGGACGGGGCTCCCCAGGAGTCCACCACAGTCAAATGTGGGTGGAAACAGTGCCTCTCAAGATGATAAAGAACTTAGCTAGAGGCCACTCCTACACCCCTCACCCCCCTACACTGACAGCCCTGAAATCTCTGCCTGAAACCCCTCGCTTGCTGTGCTACTTGCAATTTTTGTCAACTTGACACAAGCTAGAGTCATGTAGGAAGAAAGAGGAAATTTCAATTGAGGAAATGCCTCCATCAGACTGGCCTGTGGTACATTTTCTTGATTAATTATTGATGTGGGAGGACCCAGACCACTACAGGAGGTGCCACCCCTGGGCTGGTCCTAGATGCTATAAGAAGGCAAGCTGGGCCATCCATGGGGAACAAGCCAGTAATCAACTCTCCTCCACGGCCTCTGCTTCAGTTCTATCTCAAGGTTCCTGCCCTGATTTCCCTTCACAATGGACTACAACTATAGGCTGAGACCTTTTCTCCCAAGATGCTTTTGGTCACAGAGTTTGTCACAGCAACAGAAAGCACACTAGGCCTGGAAGGTGCTAACCAGGTCCTAAAAGTGAGTCCTGATGAGCAAGTTGGCTCTGTAGGTGCAGAATGGCAGGGGACTGTGCTATTCTATGCTATTCTGAGCTTTTCATAGAGGCTCTGGAGACACAGCAGTTTCCAGTGACATTAAACAGCTGCCTTTCTCTACCTGAGCACCCCTCAAGCTCAGAAACCCACAGTGTGCAAGGAAAGTGATGGACTAAGTCTCCTAGGGCTGTCAGTATGGCTGCCTTTCCAGGGCATAGAGTTGTCATTTATCTGATCCCAGAGGTCCCACCAGGGCGAAGAGGGACCCAAAAACCCTGCCCCTAGGGAAGAAGTCTTCCCTATAGACATCCGCTATAGATATCGGCTAGTGTTGACAGACTGAGGCTTTAAGTGGCAGGTCACCACCCCAAGGATCCTGAGCTCACTTGCATATCATTCAATCCAGAATCACTGCTGCCCCATTGCAGCTGACTCTAGGATGTAGAGCCCAGGCCAGGTTGGGGGCTTGTCATGTCAGGAGGAAGCGTAATTTGACTCTTCATAGGGAGCAAAGGTGTCTGGTGTGCAGCCTGTCTGCTGTTCTGGGAGTGACTCAGAAAGTCACCAAACCCCGCTTGGAGCTTCCAAAATGTGGAGGGAACTAGGAAAGTCTGTAAGAGCCAGACAAGGAAAGCACCCATCTGGGACTAAAGCATGGGGGTTGGGGGCTCAAAGAAAGGGCGCATAGACAGCTCCCGAGAGACAAGATTGCCCTCTGTCTCCCAAGTGCTGTGATTAAAGGGGTACTCTTAATCATCTTTAGATCGTTCTAAGACCAATGGATTCAATTAAGTAGTGAGTAGGTTTCATAGTCTGTTTCTTAGAGGACAATGACAGGAGAGAGAAAAGTCTGAACACATTCAGGACAGACACTTTTTGTTTTTCCTCGCCAATCCCTGGTTGGTTTGATCAGGAGTTTCACTGAATATGAGACCCACAGGTACAATTGGAGGACATGGAATAATAATCACTTGTGGGCTCCATGCTCTGCATGCCCGGGTCTTTCATACTCAATGCTAGAGGGATAGACTTCCTAGGAATTTCCCTAAGTACCAGCTCCTTGCCCATCATTGCTACCTCTACTCTAGCTCCAGGTGGGACTAAGAAGGCACCACATGCACACCTCTGCTTCAAAACAGTGTCAACCGGGGAGTCAAGTCAGGGCCTGGCCTGGGATGACAGCTGCTTCAAAACTCAAGCAGAGACATTCAAGTAGAGGGAGATAGGAACAAAGGAGCCATGGCTCCCATCAGGAAGGAAACAAGTTGAGAGCAGCTGACACACAGCCAAAAGAAAAGCAGGCACCAGACAGTATAAGGTCAGGACCCCTGATGTCACAGGAGACATCCTGTCACCGTAATGCAATAAAAAAACCACCTTCTTCCCTCAGGGAGCATCGACCTTGGGATCTCGTTTTTGGTTCCCTTGCCAGGGACCCTAAAGAGTTTGTCTCCTGATATCTTAGATATGCCTCCATCCTCAGAAATGAGCCGTCTCCCAGTTTTCATGCTGCTCACAGATAAACCCAAAGAAACCCAGAAGCAAAGAGGCAATCCAGCCCCCATCAGGGCTAAGATGTGGGCATGCCACCTGGATCAGCACCCAGTGGGGGCCACCTTAGCTTAAAGGGTCAGCCAGGCTGCCCCAAATGACAAACAAGTTCCATACTTTATAAGACACCTCCAATATCTTGTGCACATAGTAATTTTGAGGTGTGACAAAGAAGCCATGTGGGAGCCAGCAGTGGTCTTGGGGTGATCTATTAGGAAAGGGAGGGGAAGGAGGTCAAGCAGATTTCACATCAGGCCAAATAGATCCAAGCTGCTGTGGAGAGTCCTTTGACCTCTGCCTGCCACCCTCAGCCATATCATCTTGTGGCCACAGTGTTCGCCCTGGCTGCAGCCAAGCTCCATCCAGTAAAACCAGGAGACATCAGCAACATGGGAAGGAACTTTGAGTCATCCTAACTTGGGAAACTACTGGCATCTAGTGGGGGCTGGGCAGCACCCCACAAAGTCGAGGTCTACCCCATAGCAAAGAATAGTCAGACCAGCTGTTAGCAGTGTAGAGCTAAGAGACCTCACCCCTGTCTGTGCAGCTTTCACCCAAGAAGATTTCAAGCCCCAGGAACTCGGCATCTGGCAGGGACAAGACGGGTGTGTGAGCACCTGCCTGTCTATGAGGAAGCCTGCACCCAGGCAAAGGGAAAACCACACACATGCTGCAGTGTGGCTGGTTAGCACCTCCAGTTTGGGGGCTCTGCTGGAGGCCCAGGGTCAGCAGACAACAGCCCCACACACATACAGCCCTCTCTCCTTTCTCTAACACTTATGCACAGAGCAGCTACTGTGTGCATGCTGGAGGCTCAGATAGCAAGGACAAGAACACAGGCCTTCAGACCAGAGGTTACATGAGTGGAGCGCCACCTCAAAGACCAGATAAAACCCAGGCAGAGTGAGAGATGAATGGTCATGGTGACCTGAACTCAGGAATAGATGCATGCCTCACCAGAGTATGGTGAAGGCCTCCCTCAAGGCCACCCACCTCCAGTGTCCAGGTCATGGAAATTGGGATCCAGGCCTCTGTCTAGCAGCTTGACCAGCTTCTCTACTGAACGATGCTGAGTGTGGTCCATAAACTTCTTTAGATTGGTCTGGAGAGGAAAAGAACAAAAACAGAAATGACCATGAAAAATGTATTTACAGGGGCAGGGGACATGGGTCAGTGGGCAGAGAACTTGCCTGGCATGCACGAGGCCCTGGGCTTAAGCGCAGTATGTTGGTGCACACCTTTAGTTCCAGCACTCAGAAGGTGGAGGGAGGCAGGAGGATCAGAGGTTCAAGGTCATCCTTGGCTACATAGTGATTTCACATTTTTCAAATCCAGATTGGACTGCCTGAGCTCATTCTGGAAGGAAGGAAGGAAGGAAGGAAGGAAGGAAGGAAGGAAGGAAGGAAGGAAGGAAGGAAGGAAGGAAGGAAGGAACGAACGAACGAACGAACTTTATAGACTAAGAGGAAAAGACTGTCCACTAGGAGACGCTCCTCTGTGCAAGGCACTGCTAGCCCCGAGACTCACATGGGACCGAGAGTGGTGTCAACACCATGGGCCTATCCTAGCTGAATGTCTCAGAAATTTAGGTGTTTGCCATCTCTATACCAAGGTCTCAATGTCTGTCCCTCCATAATTTACACAGTAAACTGTAATACTTGTATAATGGCACTAGGGATCTCTGGATCATTAGGGTAGAGCCCTGATGAGTACGGTTCATAGTCATCTAAAGAGGTCCCAGAGAGCTCATTCTACCACCAATGGCAGCCATAACCTGTGCATCAAGGAATCCAAATTCTGGCTGTGATGTCAGACAGCCAAGGGCTCTGAAGTTGTGGAAATGCCAGTCTGCCTATGGTTTTTAAGTTGTGATAATAGCAAGAATGGGTTCTCCCATGGAGAGAGAGAAGATCACATGGGGCATGGTGACAACCGATAGTGGTTCTCCAGGACCTATTCAGAGCCTCCACTCCATTCCCAGAAAGGAAGCTGAGACCCAGGTCTCATCTGTGAAGAGACTATTGAACTTCCTCCATTAACCCAGAGCAGCAACAATAACCTGGAGGGCATCTAGTCCATTCCTCAGGAGATCACACAGGTCAGCCACAGAACCTCAGCCTCCCCATGCCTGCCTGCTTCCACCCTCGGCAGGAAGCCTGGCCACAGATCAGGGAGAGCCCAGCATGTCTCCTGGGCCCCACCCTCACCCTGACCCACAGTTTTCACAGCACAGGACAGGCCTGTGACATTTCATCTGATGGTGTGCCTGAGCCTTCATCCTGCCATGGGCTGGATTCCCATCTGAACACCTTACAGTTAGGGGTTAGAACAAATGTCCAAAACTGGAGTATCACTTAAACTGTGGCTATTTACTCATTGACACCTTTCTTTAAATTCACAAAAGATTTGTATCTATACATTAAATAACAGCAGCAGCAATCGTAAAAATAATTAGAAAAACTCCTCAGATGCTGGGGTCAACCATATCTATGTGGATTCCAGGATTAAAGTAAAAAATACATAAGAAGATCCAGGACCACACATAGCTGAGTGTTCATCAAGGACAGAGTGAGGGAAATACCAAAGGGCAGAGAACCAAGTCATGGGGATCTTCCAGCCACCACTGGATAACAGGCACAAAAATGAAAACACTGTTAGTCAGAGAGGCCATAGAGGTCCCTTAAACAATACAAGCTGCTGCCATTTGTCTTGGCTGTTCATCAGAACTAGATTATGGGACCATAGGGCTGAAAAGACAGCACAGCTTATGGCATGATACAGAGAAATCAGGCTGGGTGTGAGCTGGATGCTTTGCTGTAGGCAGCTAGCTTCTATAATTCTGAGAGATTATGAAATAGCCTTATCTACGGGGAGATAAGGCACCAACGGTCTTGCCCAGCTGTAAATCCTATGAACCATGATACCAACCTTCTGGGCAACAGTACCATAGTAGCACAGTAGTTATGGGAGTAAGCAACCACTCCCTGGTTGGCTTTGAGGCCCCCTCCTCTGTAGGAATCCAACCGTGGTACTGTAAACTACATCACAAACACATGGTAAGCAAAGTCACCAGCCCTAGGGGGGAAATACTGGGTTTTGTTTTGTTTTTGTTTTTACTAGATTGACATAACATCAAGTTGCCTGCTAAATATCTGTTTAGTCCCATAAACCAGTGTTTCTCAACCTGTGGGTCATGACCCCTTGGGGGTTCAATGACCTTTTCAAAGGGGTTACTTAAAACCAACAGAAAAGCAAACTATTGACATTATGATTCATTACAATACAAAAATTACAGTTATGAAGTAACAATGAAATAATTATATGGTGGGGGGTCACCACAACATGAGGAACTGTATTAAGGGGACATAGAATTAGGAAGATTGAGAACCATGGCACAATCAGAGAAGCCTCTCTTCCTTGTGACCTGGTGGAGTAGAGAAGTATTACCCCCACCCCATACCTTTGTGTGGAGCCTGGCAAGCTGCTTCTCATCCAAGTTGGACTGCTTGTACACACGTTTCTTATAGCGAAACTGCCATGGAAACAGAGAAAGATTGCAGGTGACTAAATGTTAGACATGGATACTCAGGGGAACAATGACCTGGCCAAGGACAAGGCATCCCAGTCTTAACCAAGACACTGGTGTCTGTGCTGCAGAGCCCACCCCCCAAGAGTCCCATCATCCAGCAGCCATGAGGACACACGGCAAGCTCTGAGCTGTGTAACCCAGTCAGGCCCCAGCTGGCACTGAGGATGAGGTGGTCCTGAAACACCACTAATGTAGCCTCATCCCGCTGGATCACAGTCTGTGGGAATCCACCTGCCCTTAGTTTTTCTGGGGTGTAACTTGGACACATTTTTCTTCCCTGTTGCTCATCTTCTGTCAGACTGCATGGGAGATCCCATGCACCCTTCTGCTCAGGACTCAGTGTCTCCTACTGGCCCCTCAGGACAGTGCTGCCTGCTTTGGATTGGAAATTTCATTGCAGAGCAGAGAAGCAGACTGGAGTTAGTGACAACACCCAGGGGCAAGTTGTGTCCTAGCAGTCAGCTTTGTCATATCCCCTCTCCTCCCAGACACCTAGAACCTTTGTATACCTATTAAAGAGACACTGCAGAAGGTTCAGGAAGACCACTGAGGGAAGGGCAGGGCTGAGATTTTGAGAGGAAACATGAGGTTCTTTATTTGCTAAGTGACCCTGAACTGGTTACTTTCCCCCACATCAGCCTCACATTCCTTATCTGTCTCACCCAAGGGCCCTAGAGTAGAATAACCTTCCTGAACTCAGGTCACTATGCCTCCTTCCTGGCCTCCTCTGAGGCTGTCACACTCCAAAGAGATCATATAGATAGTGGGTACAAACAAGTACCTGAGAACATAGGAAGGAAGGCTCCAGAAGGAAGCAAAAGTTAGTTCCCAAACTGAAGTCTGACCTTGCATTATTTTCCTGTTTTTAGATTTTGAAAATTTTTTATTGGTTAGGAGCCAGCTGCTCTTCCAGAGGACCTGGGTTTAGTTTCTAGACCCCACACAGTGGCTCATATCCAGTTGCAGGGAATCCGGTGGTGTCTTCCGGCTTCTGTGAGTTCTTCACATATTTGATGCATATACATACATACATACAGGTAAAACACTGCTATTCATAAAATAAAAGTAAGAAAATCTACATTGCTAATTTTATTTTATTATTTTGGGTCTATAGGTGTTCTGACTGTAGGTATATCTGTGTACCACATGCATTAGATTCCCTGGAACTGGAGTTAAAGATGGTTTCAACTGAGTGCTGGAAATTAAACCTGGATCCTCTGTAAGAGCAACAAGTACTAAAAACCACCAAGCAATTTATGGGAGAGGAGAGGAGAGAGAGAGAGAGAGAGAGAGAGAGAGAGAGAGAGAGAGAGAGAGAGAGAGAGAGAGAGAGAGAGTTTTGATGATGCTGGAATCTAAACTTGAGTCCTTTGGGAGAGCAGCTGCTGCTCTTAATCACTGAGCCATCTCTCCAGCACTGCCCCCCCACCCCGCCCACCATCCTGTCCACAGGAGGCAACTATGTCCTGCTATCCCTCTGCCCCACACAAGATGACCAGTCCACGTGAGGCACAAGGCTCAGATGGGAACTTTCTGGTTATCAAGTGTGAAAACAAGTCAGTCCTGAAGAACTGGGCTGCCAGGGCTGCCTGGAGAGCTTGTGCCTCCTAAGATAAATCTGTTCAGCTTCTGGATGGAATTGGATGGAGCAGTGCCAGGTTGGAGGATGCCCAGGCCTGCTTCTGGACTGCAACGCTGCAGCTCTGCAGCTTGCCCCTAGTCACATCCAGATGCTGCCAAAAACTCAGCTCTCACTTCTGTCTTTAACTAATCACATTCCCAAAGCCATCAAGAAGGACCATCAGGTACCTGTCACACACATACCTAACAGGGAAGGTCCAAAGGAGCCCAACTTTAACTAAAGGGTGGGTAATTTTCTACTCTAAAACAAACAGGAGCCTGGTGAAGGAGCCCTCTTTTGCACCCAGGCTGCACAGCACCAGCCCCCACACAGTCACACATGGCTACTTACCTCCAGGGAAGGCACACCCTGGCCCATGGGCTGTGGATATTCCCGCAGGAGCCGTTCCTCATCCAGGAACTTGCCATCCCGCCCATTGCTGGCCGGCTGGAAGAGCCCATAGTTGAGTACATCCTTCAGGCCTTGGTTCAGGGTGCACAGTATCCGCTGCTTGGCCACCCACACGGTGGCATCTGGGTTAAATCGAATGCATTTCTGTAGGGAGAATGGGGACATGGGTCAGGGATGCCCAAGGTCATCGGAGCCACCAACCCAGGCACAGAATTAAAAGAATTCTGCTCCTTCTGCTCTGGTCCACTCTGCCCCAAAGTAAAGTTTACCTTTGCCTCTTGGACAGAGCGGCTAGGGAAAGCAAGACAAGTAAACCAGTCTGGGAGTCAATGAAATGCCTGCCATCTAAGCATGGAGCCCGAACTTGAACTCCAGAAACCACATAAAAGCCCAGTGCTGGGGAGGTAAAGACAAGTCAATCCCCAGGACTTCCTAACCAGCCATCTTAGGACCAACATCAAGATTATCATATGCACATACATGCACACAGGCACACATGAGTGCACTGTGTGGGAGAAACATGTACTGAGACTCTCAGCTAAGTACAGCTTTCCCTAAGATATCCTGGGAGGTTGCAGGATCCCCTCTGAATCTCCAGATCCATGGACACTCAGGTTCCTCATAATGACATGTTTTTAAACTTCCACACATCCTCCCAAATGCACTTTGTATCGGAACACACACTGTCATCTACGAAGTTCATGCTTGAGAACTGCAATTGAGTTAGCGACTAAAAAAAAAAAAATCTCACTTTTGTTTCAGGCATTCACGGTTGTCCTAGGACACATGCAGCCTATAGGACATGAATTGAATATACTGCATGATTCCCTATTTGTTTTTAACACCTAATAGACACACTGCACATCTGTGCAAAAGTCACACTCGACTCTGATGAAGATAAAGTAAGCTTTGTGCACAATTCTCCAGCTACCTACACAAAACCCCTGATGCAACAGCCTACTGTATGACAGAGACAGTATACCCACCAGAGCAAGCTGGTTAGTGACACTAGTCATATGGGTGAGCTCTGGGTTTGAATGATAGACCCTTGGACCCTGCCTCAGTTAATAAGGTAAAAGAGCAATTAAGGATGATTCTAGACATCAACCTTGGGCACACATGTGCTCATACATATGCAAACATGCATATTTACATGTACACACATACATAAAAATGGGAAACCAAGCTGAGCAGTGGTAGTGCACACCTTTAATCCCAGCACTCAGGAAGCAGAGGCAGGTAGATCTCTATGAGTTTGAGGCCAGCCTGGTCTACAAAGGGAGTTCCAGGACAGTCTGGGCTGTTATATAGAGGAACCCTGTCTCAAAAGACAAAACAAAACAAAAGAAAAAGAAACAAAATGGAAAACCCAAAACCCAACCCAACTTGAAGAATGAGGGGTAGCAATTACGAGAAAGTATTTGATCAGGGTAGAGGGGTGGTCAGACCAATTACTGCAAGTAGTAATTTCTTACATGATTAAACAGCACCAATAGGACCTCCAAATCCATCACCTACACTCCCAAAAGATGCATTTCTCCCTCTGAGAACTGGAATAGTGACAGCTTGGTTGTGTTCCCAGTGGCCTTCTGTGACACTCCTTGGAAACCAAGGAAAGACCAGGCCAGACTGGGTCCATGTCTAGCCAAGACTTCTCATGTGTGTTCGATTAAAATTGGTCTCTACTGTTCAGCCATAGCAGGTGCTTTCATACTGCAAAGACAGCTAGGAAGAGCTCAGGGCTGACTGAAAGAGGCTGTTTTGCAGGGGGATTCTGTGTGTCTCTGCCTCAGGGTACAGAAGGCCCTGCTGCCTTCAGGATCCAGGCACTGAGCACCAGCAGGTGCTCACAGCTTCAGAATGTTCTATTCAGCTGCTGTCAGTCCTGAACACTGGTCTAGTAGCCACTACCCAGCCAGGGAAGCTGACACCACACACATGAATGGATGTTCCTGTCGGCCCCTCTCTGGTGTCACCGGCTGAGTTCAAGGTGACCCTCTGACCTTCCTGGGTTACAAGACCTAGTGGAACCAGTTGTTCCCTCCAGTAAGGAGCCACATGCCCCCACCCCTACCATCCATCCTGGCTTAGTGAGAACCCTCTGTAATCTTGACACAACAAAAGCATGATAAGGGATATGGCCTCCCGGGACTACTGGTAACCCACCACTCCCAGTTCAGGAATCATTGCAGGATTCAAGTTACAGTACACAGATGGGAAGTCCCAACTCAGGTTCCCTTATACCACATTACAGAGCACTTCCCCAGCCCTCCCCGAGGCCAACAAGAACCTGCCAACTGGCAAGTGCCTAGGGGGGCCCAGGGTAGTATGCCACCTCCCAGAGGATTTGTTTGCCATTGTAAGCTACACAAAGACTGGCACTCACTGCCATTTTATGGGCAGAATAGGGAAGCCCAATGTTCACTTCCCTAGTGCAAGAACCAACCAAGCCTGAGAAACAAAGCAGCAGATTTGGAAAGCAGTAGAGCCACCACATGGAAACCCTTCTGGAAAGAGCAGGAGTTCAGAGGTCAGCAAGGCCCTGGTCTTCCACCCACCAGCTGGGCAAGACCTACTAAGCTGCCACCATGTTGATTCATTTCTCAGTCAAAGTCTGGGCCTCACTCCAACCACATGGCAGTCAGAAATACATGTGGCCATAAGCAACATACCTGTCAAGGGCTATGCCCCCTAAAGAAGACAGTGATCTATTTAGAAATGGGGTTTTTACAGGTGTGGCCAATTAAGATAAGGATGCACTGGAGGGGGGTGTACTTGACTCGATACCGTGACATTGTAGAGATGGTAAATGTGGATGTCACAGAAGGTGCATAGGATGGACACTTCAGGAAGGTTATCAGGGTGATGTTCTTATTATAGGACAAAAAAATCTGGAGGTCTCCCGCAAAGCCCTAGGGGTCCTAAGTTAGCCTGACCAACTAGGGACCAATGAGCCTGTGGAGGATGTTTCACATCTAAACTGTAACATCCCTAAATCAACCATCACTGATGTACCCCTACTCTAACATGAACTTCCACACCAGTGTACCCTGCACTCACACCATCCCTGTCCCCCACCCATCCTCAGCTTCACTCCTAATATCAACAACAGAACTAGGATGAACTCTTTGACATGAGATTCCCCAGCCTGCCCTATCTCCCTCTTATGTCTTCTGTCATCCTGCATTCACCTGTGGCCTTAGAGTTGGAGTCCCCACATATCCCTCTTCTAAAAACAGATAGCTGTCCTTCCTCATCAAGTCACCAGAACCATCTGCCAAGACACAGGTCGATTTCATTTCTGATGGAATTCTTCAAAAAAACATTTCTGAGGGGAATCTCCTGATAGAACCAAAAGTAAAGGAAGTCCTGAAGTTTACCAGACATCAGGGATGAGGTGACTCACTACCTGTGATAATGGCTTTACAGTGAAGTGATTATCAACACCTTATCTCACTTAGCTATGGAAATACTCCTAGGTGGAGACACAACAACACTGTGGTGGTTTGAATGTGATGCCCCTCATTTGAATACTTGGTCCCCAGTTGGTGGGGTGCAGTTTGGACAATTTAGGAAGTATGGCCTGGCTGGAGGAAGTACATCACTGGGAGGTGGGCTTTGAGAGTTAAAAGATTCACACCAATGCTACTTTGCTCTCTCTGTTTCTTGCTTGCAACTCCAGATGTGAGCTCTGAACTTCCAGCTCCAGATACTATGACTCTACTCTGCTATCATGGATTCAGATCCCTCTGGAACCATAAACGCTTTCTTCTATAAGTTGTTTTTGGTCAGGTCAGGTGCTTTATCACAGCAATAGAAAAGTAACTACGACACCCACCAAAATCTACAAGTGTGAGCTGGGGCTGGTCATGATGCTAACAGTGTGAGACAAGGATACTTCCATCCATGAAGTTCATCATTAAAGTCAAATCCAAGATGAAGTTTTGTAATACAAAAAAAAAAAAAAAAAAAAAGGCAGAGCCCCTTTCTCCAAGTCCCAGACCTCTTTGATGGCACCCAATACCTGATCTGTATTTGATGATAATGCATTCAAAGGTGTTCTGCAAGATGTGAGCCAGAAACTGAAATATTCAGGCTCAGGCAGCAAGAATCTAGCATGTATGTAGACAGGGTGAGAAAACACCCAGCCTGGATCTGCCACTCAGTAGAGGGCAAGAGCTTTGGAGGACACAAAAACAAATCTTTCACCCCATGCTTGCTGACCATAGCCTGCCAACCTAATTTGCAAGGGCAAGGTTCAGAGGCTCTTGATCTTTGGCAAGTCCAAGCAGAAAAGTGCAAGCCTCCGTATTTCAGTCTCAATGTGCATCAGTTTGTTCCCATAGCAGCAGAGCCACAGTCTGCATGGCACACATCCAGTGTCCTCCATCCTGGGAGCTGAAAGTCCCAGATGGAGGTGTCTCAGCACTGGCTCCTCCTGAGACCTGTCTCCTTGGCTTGCAGGTGGAGTCTTCTCCCTGGCCTCCCAGGGTCACCCTGTGTCTGGTCTCCACTTCTTATTAGGACCCCAGTCATGTGGATCAGAGTCACCCCTAATTGATGTTGTTTTACCCCAATCCCCTCTTGAAAGCCTTCCAAGCTCCTAGGGTCAAGACTCCAACACAAGAACAAAAGAGCTCACACCTATCCTGTAACATGTATGACTGGATGCCTAAGAGCAGATATCTATAACCCACAGAGGTCATATGCTCACGGTGAGGGTTGAGGGGCAGGTCTGCACTGACTGCCAGCCCATGTGAATGAACATTAGTGAGGCACAAAACACAATGCTGGAGCTGCATGCCCACCACTGCAGAAGGGCATCCTCCCCTAGTGTCCTACACATGAGTGTTCTGAGTCACAGCAGCACTGTGTGTCCATGTCAGTCTGAAGCCTGAGACTAGTGAATATACGGGCTGCTCCATGAGACCTCAGTGAACTTGAGGGAGTGTCTAGACAAAGTAATGAAAGCAGTAAATGCTACACTGTATAAATACCTTTCATTACAGTGGGCAGACTGGACAGGAAGGTAAACAACCCTAGGCTGGAATTACACACAGAGTATGTAAAAGTATAATGTCCTTCCTGCCTCCTCCACCTCTGTCAACTCTGGCTGCTTGAGTGAGACTTAAGAACAAGCATTA